ATGTATATACTCTCATACATACTACATATGGTTGAACGAGTGTTCCAGGACAATTGCGAGTTCGGGCGGAAATATTAATTTTGGGACATTTGTAGTTATATATATAATAGATATGCTGAGGACGGTGTCTCAGAATGGCTGTCATTTTACTCGTGTATAAATACAGGTGGCCACTGAGTTCTGCAGCATATATATGAGAGGGCACATAAGCACATGCATACCATAACACAGATGTGAAATGGTTGGATATGTATAAGTGTATATATTTCAGCTCCGATACAGATACCCCCTGTACATACTTGAGCTTTACTCGACTCCAATCCTTTGCGATGATGTTGGTGTATCTATTCTTGATTGATCCAGCGTTCGTTGCAGCAGTAGAGGCTGTCAGTTGGTCGCCGAACTTCTCTTCCTCTGACTCTATCCGGTCAAACTCACTGAAGAATCCCTGACGCTATTCGCAGCATGGGGCAAAGGTGTCGATACCCGTTCATATAGTGCGGGTTGGAGGAAGGCGTTTGACAGATGTATGCGATATAGGCGAGGACTGCGGGCCATGCTAGGTTCTAGTTGCTGTAAGTGCTTCAGTCCAGTAGGACTTTCGCAGGGGTGACATGCATCGGATAGTACTTAATGTGACTTTCAAGAAAATATGATTTGGCATCCTCTTGACTCCTTGCACACACGGTTCATGAGTGCGGTTTCGGGCCAATAGAGCAATACAATAATACATACATATATTTCAATATGTGTGTATATATGTACATTTTCTCGAGGTGCTTCATACAAATACTAAAATATGTGTGTGGAAGTACGCACTTTTTCTAGATGTGCTAGATACAAATACTTAATATGTGTGTATGTATGCGCATATTAACGAGGTTTCTGATACGAATACTAAAATATGTGTGTAAGATGCACATCTTCTAGAGGTGCTTGTTTCTCGAGTGAAGAAAAGGGTGGGTGGTGAATGCTAATCGATGACTGACTTTCTGCAAAAATAGTTAAATACACATGAATGCTTACAATCCTCCGGGTCTGTAACTGCTACTAATTGCTCCATGGTTTCAATGAGGGAGAATGAAAACTGCAATATCAGTGGGCAGCAGTTTTAATATATACCAAGACATATGATCCAAACTGAAGTGCTCGTATGCATACGCTTATTTCAAGTAGCTGCTACAATCCAATAAAGATTGCTGCTACAATACAATAAAAATTTCACGAATGTAGAATGTTTAGTAAGCCTTCTGACGAATATAGAGTGAAATGACATTGGCCTTTTACCTGTTTCATCTTTAGTATTTTTTCCTCGAAAAGTTCGCGCTTGATGCTGGAGAAGCTGTATGTCTATGTGAGTGCACATTTTGAGTAGAAGAGTTTCAGACACTTTTTGAGTAGAAAAGTTTCAGACAATTTGTATCGATCCTCTGAACCCCATGTCGAGATTCCATACAGGTCGCTGACTCGTACTATAGACGTTACTCACCAATATCAGGCTACGAAGACTTTTTCAGTACCCTATACTACGTCAATAGGATTTTGTCCATGGTTTTACACGATTTATAAAAACAAAAAACGATGCTAGTCATAAACATATACTAAGCCTGTTGCCTCGGTACAAGGAGTAGATAAGAGAGGGTCTACGACAATACGCTTAGTGATGGTTTAAGCGCGGAAGCATTCTTCGTATATAGCAAGACCCTTAACCTGTATTTAGCAACGTACTTGGACACAGTGTATGAAATGATCGCGAGTGCATAGTGCTTTACACAAGATTTTTTCTGCTACAGTTCTTGTGTGTTTTTAGTCGATTGACAGTTCCTAATCGGCGCAAGCATCATCCTACGAGGCCAGAATCAGACATCGAAAATCGGACATTGAAAATCGGACATTGAAAATCGGACATGCCGTATCACGATCCACGACAGTAATTGTAAGATCGGTGACAATAAGCCCTTGCGAGTGGCTGTAGCTAACAAATCCACAACCTCACCTGCATGTAGGTATCGCCTTTGCTTTCTGGAGGGGCTTTGGGATCATTTTCACCTGCACTTTCCACTGGGATCGGGGGTAGAGGCTCTTCTTTCCGTGCTGCAGGAACAGTCTGAATGGCTAATGGTGCCGTCTCGGTTGGTTGATTTGCAGTTCCGCCTTGAGATACGACTTCGGACAGGGGTACAGTTTTCGGCGGTGGTAATCGCTGCTTCTTTTTCGCACACAGAGCCAGCATCATTGTCAGTAACATCAAACTTAGCAAGGCAGCAACAAGTGTCTGTGCAAATAGAACCGGGAGAAACAAGGTTAGATTGCTTAAACCAACACAATTCATTCTGCTTCCATGATCAAATCACAATATCTGCTAGGGTAATCACAACGATGGATATTTCAGACGGGATACAAAATAACATGACAAAACCCCATATACATATATATATGTATATATATATATATTATATATATATACTATATATTATATTA